AAAAAAGAAAGATTGGGAATAAACATATTAAGTATTTAACTTGAAAAGCTATTTTTTTTAAAAAGGAATAACATGTTAAGCTCAACAAAGGTGTGAGAGGTTAATGAAAAATGAATACAGAAGTTAACCAAATGTGTATATTTTGAAAGAAACAAATAGGATCAATAAATGCTGGCGATTTGAAAAGTCTGTACCAAACCTACAAAGGCTTGTCTAAAAGCTGACAAATCTCTGTTAAGACAAAAAAAGAAAACTACAAAATTCACAAATATATAGTATCAGAACTAAAAAGTAGGATGATATAGTTACAGAATTTTTAAATAATAAGGGGCTGTTGTGAACTATATACAAAACTTAGAGGCTTAAATGTGATTTCTGATTTTAAAAAAAATGTGAATTACCAAAATTCACTCAAGAAAAATAAAAAGCCCCAATAAACTAACATTAGAGAATTTGAGTTGAACTTTTAAATATGATGATTTTACAGGTAACATTTACCAAATATTCAATAATACTTGTACAAACTGCTGCAAAAAAATAGACAAAGTGACACTTCTAAGTGCATTTTATGGGGGTACTAGGAGCCTGATACCTAACATGAACTAATGCAGTGCAAGAAAAGAAAATCACAAGCCAGATCACTTGTGAACATAGATACTAAGGTAAAAAAAGCATGAGGTAATATATAAAAAAAAAAAAACAAAACAAACACAACAGTATATCAGGTCAAAACAAAGTTTATCTCAAAGAATGCAAGGGTAAATCCACATTAGAAAAAGCTATCAAGGTGACTTGTTACATTAACATATCAAAGACAAACCTATCATCATCTCAATAGTTTTGAAAAAGCATTTAGTAAAATTCAATGTTCATTTCATGGTTTTAAATATTCCTATTTTAAACTCATCTGGGCTGGAAGAGGACAACTTGATCTAATAAAGAGTTTCTAACAAAAACTTACAACAAATATAAATAATGATGACACATAGGAAACACCCTTAATGAGATAGAAATAGGAGAACAATGCTTTGCTCCCACCCTGTGATGTGATGTTGGAGGTCCCTGCTCACTGAGATAAGAAAAGGGGGAAAGGTAGAAAGAGTGTTATTTACAAATAATATGATTATCTCCGTGACAATGCAAGAAAATCTGTAAATAAACTACTTAACTAATAAGAAAGTTCAGCATGTTTGCCAAAACAAGATTATTCCAAAATCAATAACATTTCCAAACAGCAGCAAAAACCAATTAAAACAATCTAATAGAAAAAGGATCCCAAATATAACAGCAACAAAAGCTGTAAGGTACCTCAGACTACATCTGACAAAGCAGTACAAGGATTTTATCAACAAGTTATAAAACATTATCAAAGGATACTACGAAATCAGGAAAATATTAATGGATTGGATGACTCGATTATATGAAGATGTCATCTCTCCCAAAATGTAGCCTATAAATTTAAATCAACAAAATTCCAAAAGGCTTTTCAATGGAACTTGATAAACTGATACTAAAGTTAGCATGGAAGAAGACAGAAGTTCAAGATAGCCAATGAGCAAAGGGGAGAAATGCCCGTCAGACATGGAGACGTGTTATAAAGCTGTAATAATTAAAACAGTGTGGTACTGGGCCTCCCCTGGTGGCACAGCGGTTGAGCGCTGGGCTGCAAGGCTGCCCGCAGCCTCTGCAGCGCTGGTTCATTCCCTGGCTGCCAGCGAGGGTCCCACAAAAAAACAAACAAACAAAAAAAAAAAACAACAGTGTGGCACTGGCTCCAACTTGGTTTGATAAGTGGGAAGGGACAGAGCAGGCACATAGCCATGAATATACGGAAATTTAACTCACACTCAGGGTGGCATGGCGCATTGATGGGGAAATAAAACTTTCTTTTAAGTCAGGTCAGGGCAATAGCTTTTTCTCAAGGGGAGGGAGAAATAAAATTAAATCCCTACTTGGCACCGCTCAAAAAAAAAAAAAAAAAGCCCCCGCTGAATCCATTTTACAAGTGTAGAAAGCAAAACTTTAAAACATTAAGGAAAAAACACCTAGGAGGCTATATTTTCATGCCATCAGGTATGGAGATATTCCTTTTAATAAGACATGAATGACACAAGACCTCGAGAAAGATCAGTGAAAATGATTACATTTTAAATGCAGAAGATATCAAAAGCAGTTAAAAGAGGAACCACAGACTGGCCATATTGTATATAATGTTTACACACTATATGAACTCCTACAAATCAGGTGAAAAAAATGAAAACAACACAGACCATTAGAAAAATGGATGGGGACTATGAAAAAACAAATCACAGGCTCAGAAACCTTAATAACCAATCCATATATGAAATGTTCGCCCTCACTTGCAGCGAGGGAAATTCAAATAAACAATGAGATATACTGGGTTTTTAAAAAAATCACATGGTCACAAATAAGAAAAGTCTAAATCTAGGAAGTGTTGAAGGTCATGTGAGGGAAACAAGAACTCTAAGACACTGCTGATGGGGGTGTGAATTAGAGGACCATTTGGCAGTCTCTAATAAAAGTGTGTGTAACCTAGCAATTTCCCATCCAGGTAGATACACAGAGAAATTCTCACATACGTGCAAAGGACACATGTACACATATGTTCCTATTAGCATTGCCCCTAATACCAAAATATTGGCAGCACCTTAAATATTCATCAATAGGGGAATGAATAAATGGGGCACATTTATATGCGTGAATCTACAATATAGTAATTAAAATGAATGAACCAGATTTATTTTTATCAACATGGAGAGAAAGAATAAGAACATACCATGAAGGGGAAAAACAAGTCACAAAATATGTGCAAACACTACACTGTACATTTAAATCAAACAAAGCAACATTCTGTATTTTTTGGGGTTTTATGTAGTAAAAGTATAAAACTTAGACTGGAAACTTAATGCCAATTTCATGATGTTTGCCTCTGGAGAAGAGGGTAGAGATAGTTTGGGGGAGGAGTAAAAAAAAAAAAGGGACTTCAATTCTATCAGAAATGTGGAATAGTTCAAATTTTAAAAATAGATCTGCAACAGATATGACAAAATGTTAACATTTCCCAATTACATGAGATATATGGGTTCTCATGATATTCTCTCTGCATTAAAAAAAAATCTTTACATTTTCTGTAAATTGAAAAAAAGCAGCTAGTAAAGAATTCTGATAGAATTTTAATATGTGTACATTACATGAGTCAATAGTCTGAAGTTTTGAGGCAAGAGGCTTTACAATAATTACCTGCTTTAGGATAGCATCTCCATAAAAATAATAAAGCTGAAAATATTATAAAACTGCTGAAAATGAACAAAGTAGATTCTGTAGGTATCAACATGGGTAGTTCTCAATCACATTGAAGGTAAAGAATAAATTAAAATGATATCTGCACTTTACCATTTATAAAGAAAAATTAAAACACATAAGCATGGATATATGCATTTACACAAATACACAGGTGATTAGGAAATAAAGAAATAATATCAAATGCTGCAAGGTTACACACTTTGAAATGCTGATTACCTAGGGAAGTAAGGAGGGAGAAAGGAAAATGAGTCTGGGGAGGGAAATAAAGTGATATTCAACATTATCTATAATTTTTATAATATAAATAAAAAAATCTAAAGCCCATATGACAAATATTTCACGTTAGATTATTCTAGGGAGTAAATACATGAGTGTATCTTATTCTTGACATACAGGTATTTTTTTAATTTTCAAAGAAAAGGAAAAGTACTCCAGAATTACAATTAAAATGCACAGAACTCACTGATGTAAAAGTTAAGCTTCTATGCCACAAAACAGTGATAGGATTATTTTTAGAAATTATCCTGTTTGCTTTTCTATGCGTTTTTAATTTTTTTTAATAAAAAGGAGGGAAAAAATGAAAGCTATGATGAAATGCTAAGACAAAATCACCCATACATCTGATAACATAAAAAGAGAAACCTCCACAATCACAAAGCACCCTATGAGCAATTCTATACCATTTGCTGCATTTTCTTATTTTCAATTTTTGTCAAAGGAAAAATCAAAGATGTTGCCTAATTGGAAACGTGACTTTCTATTATTAAAATTGTGGGAGTCCATTTTAATGTGTTTATCTCGCTGCTACTCTATAATTTATATTTCAGCGTGGAAATTTGTTTGCATGCCTGTGACAGGTTAATGCAGTTTAAACATGCATTTTTCTTTCGTTAGTGGAATAGTTAAATTGTTGCTCAAAGGATTTTAAGTTTCAATTTCAACCATGAGAGGCTTCTTTGCTTTTTCGAGGTTAAAAATGTTTCTGGTTCAAAATGCTATTAATTAATGGCTACGTAGTGGCTCTATGGAGGGAATTGCTACCGATCCTGGATGAACGGTGGAATTGGTAAATGAGCAAACTTTTTCGGATGCAGATTTGCGGATATTTTTAATTTGGGTCTGCAAGCGGTGGGCAGAAGTGAAATGCAGTTGCAGCCCGCTTCGCCAACGATCGCAATTAGGAATCGAAAGACAGGTCAGGTATTAGCATTGTTTTTTTCCCCTTAAAAAAAAAAAAAGTTTCTCGGACTCCGCCGGACACCCAGCTGGCTGAGGACCAGCGGGTGCGGGGGGGCGAGGCCGGCAGGCTGCCCAGAAGTTACGATCGGGGAGTTTTCTCTTTATTAAAATTACCTGGCTCACCAGCAGAGGCAAGAACGCGAAGACAAGATAATTTCTTAGGCTGTTAAAAATGACTTAGCCCGGCGGGCCGCGCGTTCCGAGGGGGTGTCCTGCGGGCCGGGGCGGGTCCCGCCGCCCCCGCGGGCTCCGGTGCGTCAGGGGCGCGTCAGGCGGGGCGGGCTCCGCGCGGGCGGCGGCGGCGGCGGGCGGCGGGCGGCGCGCACCGGGCCTCCTGCTTCTCGCTCCGAGGCTGCGGGACGGACGCTCCCGAGAACTCTCTCGCCCGCGGCCGGCCGCGCTCGGACGGCGCTCGCCGGCAGCCCGGCCGGGCCAGCATGTCGGCGGCCGTGGCGTGCCTGGACTACTTCGCCGCTGAGTGCTTGGTGTCCATGTCCGCGGGCGCCGTGGTTCACCGCCGCCCGCCGGACCCCGAGGGCGCGGGCGGAGCCGCCGGCTCGGAGGTGGGTGCGGCGCCGCTGGAGTCCGCTCTGCCGGGTCCGGGGCCACCGGGGCCCGCGTCGGTCCCCCCGCTCCCCCAGGTCCCCGCCCCTAGCCCCGGCGCGGGCGGCGCCGCGCCCCACCTGCTGGCTGCAAGCGTCTTGGCTGACTTGCGCGGCGGCTCTGGGGAGGGCTTCGGGGGGAACTCGGGGGAAGCTCTGCGCGCTTCGTCCGGCTCCGCCGACCCAACCCGGTGCTCCGGGCCGACCCAGTGTGCGGAGCCGGCCCCGGTCTCCAGCGCAGCCGAAGTCTCCGGGCCCGCGCACTCCTCCGGCGCGCAGGCGGTCCCCGGCGCACCAGCCGTCCCCGGAGCGCCTGCCGACCCCGGCGCGGTCCCCTGCGCGGCCCCAGGGGCGGGCCCCGCCCCCGCCACAGGCCCGGGACCCCGTCGGAGGCCGGTGACACCTGCTGCCAAGCGCCACCGCTGCCCCTTCCCGGGCTGCAACAAAGCTTATTACAAGTCGTCGCATCTGAAGTCCCACCAGCGCACCCACACGGGTGAGCGCCCTTTCTCCTGCGACTGGCTCGACTGCGACAAGAAGTTCACCCGCTCCGACGAGCTGGCCCGCCACTACAGGACGCACACAGGCGAGAAGCGCTTCTCCTGCCCCCTCTGCCCCAAGCAGTTCTCCCGGAGCGACCACCTGACCAAGCACGCCCGCCGCCACCCGGCCTACCACCCCGACATGATCGAGTACAGGGGGCGCCGTCGCACTCCCCGCATCGACCCGCCACCTCGCGTCGACCCGCCACCTGCCAACCTGGTGGACACCACCGGCTCCCTTCAGATCCTGGTGCCCAGCTTCACCGCCTGCCTGTCTGATGGTCGTTGCTTTTAGTCGTCCCCTCAAGGACGATCTCCCAGGCCGTGGTCCCTGCCTTCTCGCTGCCCATCCCTCTTTCCCAGAGTCATTAGTTCAAGGCACAGACTGGTTCCTCTGCTCTGAGGGTGGTTGCAGGCAGGCGCGTTGGACCCTGGGGAGGGACCGAGGGTCCGAAAATAGCAGGAGTTCTTACAACACATATCATCCTAAAAGGGAGAGTTGCCTGGAGACAGCCCCCAGGAATGATGAGAAGGGATGAAACCCACCCCCTGCTACTCTCCAGAGTCCTGAAGATTCTCCGTTCTCTGGAACCAGAGATGTGAAACTGGAATTCTCAGGTGCTTGAGGAGCTCCCAGTCTCAAAGGACTCTGGTGTTTTGCCCGCCCGCTGAGGCGGACCTTGCAGAGGTTGTCAGGGGTGGCAGTCTTGGAAGTGTCCAAGACTGGGATGGTGAGAGGCCTTTGGAAACAGAAATGATTTCTATTTCTGTAAACAGCAATGTTTACTAATTTATTTTTAGTATATTTTAAACAGGGAAAAATGCACAGGGATCCCAGGTTGATTGGAGGTTGAGGTCCTCCACTCCCCAGTTGCCCCAGCTACCTCTGCTAGGAAAGACCATGTAAGAATCCATGTAGCTGTCTGGCTGGGAGGTGCTTCTTGGTGGCTGGGAGTGATGTGAGTCTGTTTGAGGTCCTGTTGCATGGTTTGGTACCCTGCACTGACTTGGTGGCCTTTTTTCCCATTTGGACTCCTACTTAGGGACAGTAACTTACTGGCTTACTCTGACTATGAGATTAGTTAAGAATAAATGGAAAGAACCATAAATGCGCCAGAAGTAAAAGGGTGGTCTAGGCTAGTTCCCCCTTCACCTGGTAGGTAAACTCAAGTGACTTTGGGTGATATTGGTCCAAAACAAAACTTTTCAGAAACATTCAGGGAAATAGAGGCATATGGTCCCAGCTGCCCCATCCAAGTAATCTCAGGTGTGGTAGTTTCTGTCTGTTTCTTAATGGCTAATTAGAGGGTTATTTCTCTTTGGGGGGGGGGGAAATCTGTGCATTTTTGTTTCTGCAACAGATGAGTCAGTGGGGCGGGGAGGGGAGGGTGAGTGTGGCTTCTTCCAAGGAGCTGGCTGGATTTGGGAAAGAGACTGCAAGGTGAAAGTTACTATCAGTTAGGATGACTCTTCTCCCCTCACCTTGGAGTCCCTTCAGCTTATTCCCCTCTCTGCCCCTCTCCCATGCAGGAACCAAGTATCAATAATATTTATTTTGTTCTATCCTATCTCTGCTGCTATGGATGAAATCATCAGCCACTTTGCTTACGTTTGTGTGAATGTGTATATATGTAACCCACTAGAGATGGGGCTAAAATGTATTTTCTGCTCTGGTGAGGTCCCCTTTGGTCCCCTCCTGAGTATCTTATAATCATCAGTCATACTTGTGGAGGCTATATCTCTCAAAGGACCACACCAGGCATCCAGTTAAACAAAATGCTTTTCCCTATTTTGCAGATCAAGACACTGAAACTAGATAAGCTTAAAATCACATGCTGAACTGCTGGGAAGAACTATGATTAGAATTTGTGTACCTTGCCTTCTAAGCAGCCCTTTCCCTCATACTTGGTTACCCCACCTCCTCTCTCTGGGCCTTATTAGGCTAGTTCCCCCTTCACTCTCCCTTCCTGTAACTGGGCCCCTGTCCCCTATTCCTATCACTTTTGTGTTCTTAAAATGTGTAGTCCCTTGTGAGTCCTTTGCTTGCTGTGTTTGACCCAAAAAGCCCTTTTCTTAGAAGGTTGAGTCTATTCTCTCCTTCAACACCCTGAGGACTTAAAGTGGGAATGACTCTTTGGCATCTTCAGGAGAGACTTTATCTTGTAACATGGTAGATTAATTTTCAATGCCAATTCTATTTTTTTCTGGCCCTGGGAATTTCAGCTTCCTTGAGAGAGTAAGTGATGTGAACCTGGCATTAGTCTCTGCCGAGTGTTTATAACTGAGGGAAAGGTCTTTAGGAAGGACCCAAATGGTGTGGCCTGTGACTCTGAAGAGGTTCAGTGTTTCCTGGTGTGAACTAATTAAAGCAAGGGAACTCTCCTTGAATTACATATGGGAAGAAGCAGCCCCCAATTGTGGAGCTGGGTTTTGGTCATGGGAAGAGTTTCTCTTTTGTTCCTTTTGTCTCCTCAGCTGGGACTGGATAGGAAGGGCACTGCGGGCACCACTGAGGACTATGAGTTCCCTTTGTTCACTTCAGTAGAAGATCTGGCATTTGCTAGGTTGGACCAACGAAGCTAACAGGAGAGAGACTTCCACTGACCATTCTGGAATTGGGCTCAACAAAGCTTGGCTTATCCACCCTTTGATAAATATCTTTTGATTCTCAAACTCCCAAGTAGTGTCCTTATTTGGGTTCTTCTACTTTGGGTACTTTCGTCTGGGAATGACCTCTGACAATCTAAATGTGGTGTGTCTGTCAATAACTCCTCCTAGATCTCTGGGTGGTGGGGAAGGATACACTCAGAACACCAGATTAGGCAGTTTATGGATGCAAGATTTCTAGGCTAGTCTTTCTTACTCTAGTGTTGTTACCTCTTTCACTCCAGTAGCTAGGCCACTCTGGAGGAGCAGTTATTAATGAAATACTTTGGAAGAGGCTTCCTACCTTTATTGGTATTCTTTGTCTTGTTTTATTTATTAGGTAGAACTCAGAAATGAATGTGTCTGGGAATTGGCGGGGTCAGCTTGAGACTCTGGTTCCTGGCACCACACCTGCCATCCTGAGTTCTGATGTAAAAATGACGTAGTAACCAACTCTATTAATAGATCTCTTCCTGAAATCTGGTTTGGAAGCTGAGAATGTGTTCTAGATCAGACCTTGGGAGTGAGAGAATAGGATCCCTTATCTCCTTGGGAGGGGGTAAAGAGTACAGGCTCTGCCCCCATCATTGGGGGACAAGAATCTGTCATTTGTCCCTTTTTCCCTGTTCTTCTCCAAGTTAGGAATCATATTAGAATGTCATTTTTGGTCTTGTACCTCTTCACCCCAAAAGAAAATTGTGTTCACTGATGGATACATAAGGAAGAAGGTCATTGTGTACACATACTCTCTCTCTTTTCTCTCTCTCTCTCTCTCTCTCTCTCTCTCTCAGCTCTCTTCTCTCTTTTGTACCTCTTTGCCTGTCACGTGTATGCACTCCATTCAGATCCTGCTTTCATATGGTAAGCACATCTGCTGACGCCCAGCCTGCCTTCCACAGGAGGGTCTGAAGAGCACCTCTTTCTGTCTCTACATTTGGGGTAGCCATGCCCCTGGCCACTCTCCAGGTAAGTGTTTTCTTTTTGTATTGTTCTTTTGGGAGGATCACTCCAAGACCAGGAATTAGGAGGGTAAGAGGAACAGTGGAAGGATGGTATTTGAAAACTTAATTTTGGCCAGAGATAGCTTTATCAACAAAATATTTATATTTGGGTTCTCATTAGCCTAGTTCCTTTATCATTATTCGGTTGCTTGAGGGGAAGCATATAACTAATTTTCTCTCTTAAGATTCAACCCATGAAAATACATGTTAGCTTTAAATCTTGAGAAATAATAGGTACTCTGACAGGTATTAAGAGACAAAAACAAGATGTGTGGAGATGGGGCATCTGGGGAACCAGGACATATATCTTTAGTGTTTTAGTAATCTTGGGTCTTTCAGTTCTTTGACCTTTTTTATGTGCTAGCAGCTTATGGTGTCCACAGAAAGTCACTGTTGTTTTAGAAGTGCTGAACATGGGGATTTACAGAAGTCAGTTGCAAAACCATTGTGACTGATTTTGGTTCACACAGAAAAAGTTGAGTCAGGTTTGCTATAGAAGAGAAGGAAGAGTAGAAAAGACTATGCTGTCTTTATCCTCAGCCAGAATGGCAGACGTGATGCAAAGGTGTAAGTTCCATACATCCTTAAAAACCAGTTTGGAAGATCCTAGCCCTTAAATTGTCCTGGAGATTAGCAAGAGAGTAGATCACTTTCACCCAGTTTGGTCCCCTTTATGTTGATTTGAATTGCATTTTTTTATAGGGCCAAGGAAAGACCTATAGGAGATGTCAAGTTCTTTAATTCACATGGGGTTTACAGAGTTCTTTGTATTTCTATTCCAAGATGGTGCCAGATCTACTGACTACCTTGACAGGGACTCAAGTTAAGTGTTTCATCATGGAGGAATGGAGGATTTTAATCATAAATACAAAAAGAAGAATACAAATGTTTGTTGTATAGGGGTTTGAGATAGAAAGAAAGAATGCCATCATATCCCAGAGAGTAGCAAGAGTATTGAAATGGGCTGTGCCCATTTCATATTATATTAGTTTCATATATATTGACTATCTATTAATATGTATCTATATATTAAAGTAAAATGGAAGTAGAGGTTGAAGAATGAATAAAGGAAGACAGGTTGAGTTGGAAGAAGAAAAGGATTTCTTCAGAAGAATGTTTGTGTTCTTAAAGGACAGTACAACTGGGAAAATAAGACTAGGAATCAAGCGATCTTGAAGATGCAATCATAAAAGAGGGTGGTGGTTTAGTCATTATTAAGTTAGAGGAAGTGATTGGAACCTGAGCAGATATAAGAATGGAAGCAAACTCTCAAAGAAAACAGAAAGGTCCACCTCCACCAGGAATCTCAGATCCATGGGAATATTGACAGCTACCTGCCTGAATCCGCATAGAAAGTGATGAGAAATCGCTTCTTCAGTGCTGATGGTTACAGGAAATGTAGATAGTATTTCCAACTTTTTTAGCTTCATCTCAGTGATAACATTGTAAATAGGAATCCAAATATGGTTTGGAGAATGTAGAGTTAGGTTTCTAAGAGAAAATGTAAGGTAGATGAGCTATAAAAGAAATCAAAGTAAACAATAGATATTAGGAAGGGAAAAGCATATTTCAGTGGCCTTCAAAATAAGTGTTTATTAAAGCTCAACACTTATTTGTGATTTAATTTAAAAACGCCTTTGCAAACTAGTAAGATAATTACTTAAATGAGTGAAAAAAAATATCCACCAAAGCTTACGGTAAACATCAAGCTTAATGTTGGAAGATTACAGGCAATCCTGTTGATCATCTGGTAAAAGTAGAAAGTGAGTCTTAACAATATCCAGGTAGGTAATAACATAAAAATGCAACAAAAATATAACTAAAACCCATGCATTGGGAAATGGAAAAGCAAACCTCTACATAACACCAATAAGAGAGGCAATTATGATACTTTAGAACTGATTGAAAACCAAAAGCACTACATAGCAAAACTTCTTTGATATAGGCAGACAGCACTGGGAGAGGAAGTATAGTTTATGTTCTTAAATTTGTGTTTAAAAAACAAAAAACTGAAAGGGTATGAAGTAAGTTTTCAGCTTCAAAAGAAATGGAAAACAAAACCTGAAGAAACAAAGAGAAATTATTATGGACCATGCATTTTCAGTACTATCTCTACTAGGAACAGAAACTGGTATTTTTGCTATTATGATATTATGATGGTTTTGACCTTTCAAAAAGCTAGTATGTATGCCAAATGGGTGGTTTAAGTTGTTTGTGTAGGTGTGGGGGAGTGATTAGGCCAAAAAAAAATTGCCTGTAAGTCTCTTAGAGGAATGGTAATGAAAATGGTTGAAAAACTCTGCTACAGATAAAAACAGAAATTAATTAAATGGGGAAAAAATGAATAGAGTTGAATAAAACTCTTCTTAAAGGCCTAATGAAGATAGATTTCTTTGGAAAGTATGATTAAGAAAAAAGAAGGCACAAAAAATTATCAAAAATAAAAAAGGACACAAAACCTTAATAATACCTTAATAAATTATAAGAGAATAACAAACAACTTACTGCAATAGAGTTGGAAAATATATGGATAATCTTACAGGAAAATATAAAATTTCACTATGACCTAAGAAGATGTAGATAATCTGAAATAGAAATGGTTGTCAAAAAGCACTAGGTCTTGGTGGTTGTACAGGAAATTCTCTAAATTCAAGAAATAGGTAACTTCCATCTTTTATAAATTGTTCCAAATCATAGAAAATTCTTCAATTTATATAGCTAAAGCAGCCCTCCTACCAAAACATGGTAAAAAAAAAATTGCCACTTTACCTATAAATATAGGTGCACAAGCCATGAGTAAAATATTAGAAATTCTAATTCAGCAGTGAATGATGGGAATAATGCACCATGATAGGAAGTTTATCTCAGAATGCAAGATTAATTCAATAGTAGAGATGTGTCAGTGTAATTCAATGCATCAATTGAAGGAGGAAAATCAATGACTTTCTTATATGCCAGCAATTACTAATTAGAAAATGGAATAGACTAGGTGATTTCATATACACCAGCAGAGAAGTATATAAAGAACCTATAGACAAGACTATAAAACGTCTACTAAATGATATCAAAGAAAATATGACTAAGTAGAGACACAGTGGTTAGTAAAACTCAATACTGTAAAAATGCCAGTCCTTTTCTCAAATTTATATATTTAATGTCATTCCCCAATCAAAACCCCAAAAATATTTTTCATGAAACTTTTTCAAGGAAATATTACAGAAGAGCATAGGGGAAGGCAGGAGGAGGAGGGAGAATTGCTTTACCAAATACTAAAATATTACAAAGCTATGGCCATTAAAACAGTGTGGCATAGTACAGGAATAGATGAATAGAAAAATGGGATTGAATAAGGAACTCAAAATAGATCTGTGACTAAGGAAGAATTTGGCATTTAAGGGAGATGGCACTTCAGATCAGTGGGGAAAGACAGGCTGAGCAGTGAATGCTGAGACAATTAGCTCTTCATGAAGAAAAGCAAAACATTACAGTGTAAAATACAACATTACTTTCTCTCTCAAAGCTTTCGGAAAAATAAATTCCAGATGGTAAAGACATAAACATAGTTAAGCTGTAGAAAGTCAAAAAGACTAGAGATCTGTCATCTTTGGATAAAGAAGACATTGTTTAGAACACATAATTTTTTAAAATAAAAATTTAAAGGGAAAAGATATGAATGCATCCAAATTCTAAAATGTTTTGCAGCTGAAAACCTAAACAAAATGCAATACAAAGAAACACTCATTTAACAGGTATAAGATCAATATCCAACATAAGAACCAAAAATTTGAGTGAGGGAGGCCCCCTAAAGTGGTGAATAGATAGTAACAGGCAATTTAAAGAAAAGATCAGGATTGAGAATGTCAGTGGGTCGTTAGCCCCATATATAATGCTCTTACTCTTTTAAAAGGAAACTATGCTTGTGTAAGTTTTTAAAAACCTAAAAATTAATTAAAAGCAGGCAAAGAACAAAAGTAGATGGTAGAAAATGATAGACCAGGTAAATAAAGCAAGCAGGTATGATGAACTTTCTTTCAGAATCAAAATAAAAATGAAAGATTGAAACACTGATGAGACAAAGGTAGATTTTTTTTTTTATATGGAGAAAAAAGATACTACACATCTAAAATAATTAAGGACCTTTTTGTCCGTATGACCAAAGGTCCTTAATTATTAGGGGTGTCAGTTTAGGAATTCTAGTATCTATTCTGGGACTAAGACAAGAGTTTCTTCTCCCACTCCCCACTGGGAATGTAGAGACCCACACTCATTTCTAAGCCTTACCTCCCTCATACCAGTTTTCAATCTGACTGAAGATTTGTTCTGAAGGTGGAACTAAGAGCAGGGTCCCCCTCTTCCCTGCCTCTTATCCCTCCCACCCAAGCTCATTGTAGGGGTGGGGAGGGAGGGAGTACCAGCAACAGTTAAGTCACATAGGGACTGAGCTCATTCTAAATTCTCCCAGGAAAATAATTCCCCCCTTTTGCAGCACTTCCTTTCTCATCTCTTCCTTTCTCCTCTCCTTGTCCTCATTTTTCAGAATAGGTGATCCAGAGCTTGACCAGAGGGTTTATTCCCCTTTCAAAATGTTCTAGTTTAGTAATGGGGAAGGAAAGACAACAGTCAAGAGCATATAAACATTTATGGGATGGTAGTCTCCAGTATTATTGATTATTGGTAGCTAATTGCAGCTTTCCAACAAGCTCCCACTCCTGTTCATGACAGGAAAATCTTTAACTTGTCAAACTCTCTTCAGGGCTGCCTCCTCGCATGGTCTCCCCTTCCTTCCCACTTTGGATTTTGAATGCCCGGAGCTTATAGATCCTCACGATGGCAGAAAGGGAAGCGATTTTGGGGCTGTGTGCTGTACTGTTCTGTGGGCCCTCACTCCCTTTCCATGCTGTGTGGCCTTTCTGGGCGTTACAGTACGTCCCATCTGCTGCTTTTGGGGTTCTGCTCTTTCCATCACTGCTGGAGTCTGCTGTCGCCTCTGCTGTGACAACTCTGTTGGATGCGACTTTCTTCTTCCAAATGCAGACCTTTTCCGGACCCTACGTTCTCTTAGCATTCCTACAGCCCTCACCATGGCATGAAACACATTCTGGTTCCCCTCTACACCACATCAAAGTCACAGGGCACTGGGGTGCGGACATAGGTCCATTTGGGTAGACATCTCTCAGCCATTTCATGACAACTCTTGATGGCACCTCGTTGACCTAGCGCCACATTCAACCTGGTGTGGGAGGGAATCAGCCCAGAAGTTCTGATGTTTTGCAACTTCTCTGCCTTCTTGATGTTGGGTCTGACTTCTCTATTCTGGGCCAAGGCCCAAGGAATGAGGGACCGATGGTTCCTTCTCAAGGATCTAAGCTCCAGGTAAGTCTAGTTTCAATTCCTCTGACCTGTCCCCACTCTTTGGTTCTTCCAACTGGAAAATCACTTCACTTCCTCTCTCTGTAGAAGGCAACTTCCACCTTCATGCTCCATATTTGCTTTGCCTATTGATTTTAGAAAATGTGTTTGTGTAGGCTGCATGCTTTGTTCTTCATACTTAAGAGCAGTTGGGATTTGGAGCTTCCCTTTCTTTCCCAACAAAGCTTTCAAAACTGCTGTCATTTCTGGGCTCCAAAAGCTGAACTCAGTTCATTATTTACCTTTGCTTGTCTGCTTTCATGATCATAATGTTCTCTGAGGCAGGTAGGGTCCTCTGGTTTGAAAGGGTGTGGTCACACTGGAGAAAAGAAAAAAAATCACATTAATATTTTCTAAACCTTACCTCCCTCATATCAGTTTTCAATCTGACTAAAGATTTGTTCTGAAGGTGGAACTAAGAGCAGGGTCCCCCTCCTCCCTGCATCTTATTCCCCCACCCCTAAGTCATTGGGTCCTTACAAGAAAACACACTTAGCAAATATAAATAAAACAAAAGGAAGTTAGCCTGTCTTCTGCAGACCCCTAGAATCAGGAAAAGCCTAAGGGACAGGGAGGATTGTAGTTATTATTGCTTTAAGCAGGGTGTGTATGGCACACACAGATGACAAAGGTCAGCTGCATCCTCTCACCCTACTAGTCCACACATCCTGTCGGGAGAAGGACAGCAAATTGGTCAGTGGGTTCCAGCAGGGGTCAGCAATGGATTGGACTGGAGACCATCCAGCAGCACGGAGGCGATGCTGAAGACTGTCCTCTGGGTTGTGTAGGCGTGGCTTCTACCTCATAGCCCCAGGGCCAAGACTTACATTTCAACAAATATTTATTGAGCACTTACAATATGTCAGGCACTGGTAAATGGCACTTGAGATATCTTAGTGAATAAAATAAAGACCATGTTCTATTTCGGCAGGAGGGATATAAAAAATAAGTAAATTATAGAGTTTGTTAGATAATAAAAGATAGGGACTGAATAAAAAGTAGCCTCTGGCTGAGTGGGATCAGAGGGGTTAGGTTGAGGTAATAAATCGGGTTATATGGGTAGGCTTCCTGGAGCATTGTGCTGCGTCCTCAAAATAGAGTAAGGACTTGAAGGAGGTGTGGGAATGAGCTTGGAGTTATCTGGGTTTACAAGTGTACAGGCAGAAACAACCTGAGGAGTTGAGATCAAGAAACACAACAGAGACAGCATTGCTGGAGCAGATTTACTGTTAGAAGAAAGGGGAGGAGCCAGACCTTGTGGCCCTTACAGGCCACTGTCATGACTAACTTTTTTTTTAAGATTTATTTATTTATTTATTTATTTATTTATTTATTTATACAAGCACTGGGTACAGTCATAAGCTCGGGAGGGTGAGAGAATTCACCAGAGCCAGAGCGGGGAGCAGAACAAGCAGACTGACGAAGTACACTGCTGAGGGGAGCAGCGGGCACAGCAGGAGAGGTCTGCGTGCCATGTGGGACCCTCGCCTGGCTGCCGGGGATCGAACCGGTGCTGCAGAGGCTGCGGGCAGCTTCACAGCCCAGTGCTCAACCGCTGCGGCACCAGAGGAGGCCCCATGACTAACTTCTTGATGTGAAACAGAGGATTGCTGAGGATTTTGAGCTGAAGTGTGATATGCTCTGCCTTATGTTTAAAGGGATTATTTAACTGTTGTGTTTGAGAGGCTTAAACAAAGACAGAGACAATTTCACTAATCTAGATAAGTGATTATGGTGTTTGGACCAGACCGATGATACAGGACTTGGAGAGAAGTGATCAGACTGATATATTTTGAAGGAAAAGCCAGTGGATTCTCCTTAACAATTGACTATGGCAAGTGAGAGAGGCGGAAGAGTCAAAGTTCTTTGGCCTGAGCAGCTGGGAGGATGGAGTTGCCATCAGCAGAGTTAAGGGAGGCTAGAAGCGGGGGCAGGACTGGGGTAGGTTTTAGGGGAACAACAAGTGTTTTGTCTGGGACAGGTTGAGTTTAAGATATAGATCAGGTGTCCCAGTAGAACATTTGAATAGGCAGTGAAGTAAGTCTGGAGTTTGGGAGCGAGGTCTGGACTAGGGATAAAGATTGAAAGTTGACATATTTAAAGCATTTAGTCTGAATCAGGTCAATGACAGAGTAAACAGAGAGAATGATGAAGTCTGAGCTCTGGGGTTCTCCACCATGAACCAAGGGAGGTGAGGAGGACCAGCAGATGAGACTGAAGAGGTGTGAGCAGTGAGACAGGAAGACAAAAGCATGATGTCCCAGGAGTCAGGCTAGTAATGAAAGTATATCCCAAAAGGAGGTGCTTCCTGGGTCAGATGTCCATGCCAGTCAAGTGGCATGAAGGCTGGGAGCTGCCATTGACTCCAGCCTCCTTGGAGGCCATGGATGACTTTGCTGAGAGCTGCTGTGGCTGAGTGGCAGGAGTAAACACTAGGTGGCAGAGGATTTGGGAAAGAATAGAAAAGAAGGGCCTCCCCGGTGGCACAGCGGTTGAGCGCTGGGTTGCAAAGCTGCCTGAAGCCTCTGCAGCCCAGTTCGATCCCCGGCTGCTCCCCAGCCACCAGAGGAGGGTCCCACGTGGCAGCGCAGACCTCTCCTGCCGCCCGCTGCTCCCCTCAGCAGTGTACTTCGGTCCTTCTGCCTGCTCTGCTCCCCGCTCTGGCTCTGGTGAATTCTCTCACCCTCCCGCGTTTCTGACTATACCCAGTGCATGTACAAACAAACAAATAAATAAATCTTTAAAAAAAAAAAAAAAAGAATAGAAAAGAAACTGGAGACTATGAATATAGAGCATTATTTTGAGTCATTTTTCTGCAAAGGGGAGGAAAAACATGGAGTGGAAAGCGGTTTTTAAAAAACAGGGTCAAGAAAAGTGATGTTTTTTTTTTTTTCTTTAATGGAAGAAAGCACCCAGCCTGTTTATATGCTAATGAAAATAATCCAAGAGGGAATAAATGTTGTTAATGCAAGACAGAGGGAGGGAGAATTTCAAGAGAGAGATCCTTGAGGAGGCCAGGGCACTGAGACCCGGAGCCTGCGTGGAGGGGTTGATGTTGTCTAGGAGCATGGACATGTCATCTTAGAAGCAGGTGGACATTCAGAATTATTCCTACTGTAAGGCCTACTCCATGTTACAGTAACCCCTCAACTACGGGTATAAAATCTCTGCTGGGTCATTTAACTTCCCTGATAAATTTCCAGTTTGGATGGCAAGAGGAAAACATCCACCAAAAGTTTTGAGGTGTTAAGTTCTGAATTTAAATCATATCTGCCCTTTTCCCTGGATTGCCAATATCTCTTGGTTTCTCTGTACTATTTTTCAGGCTGAATGGGTGCTTTTTTTGTCACCTTTAAAGCTGGGATAACTGAAACAGATGCCTTCTTCTAGTCCGTTTTGGTGACATGCTGGCCATTAGCTCATGGGACTGTCCTAACAGCAGGCAATCTTGCCTTATTGCCCAGGAGACCAAACATGTGCTCAACCCCACTCAGGGGTACTGTGATTGTATTCAGAGCCTGGCCCGTCCTCATGTAGTTCCTATGACAGAGGTGGCTTTTATTCTGGAGTCCTAGAAATTGCATCTTCCTCCTCATCTTCCCAAGTATTTGTGTAGCTAACACAAACAGGGTTGGGTCATAGACAATAACAGTGGGTCATAACAATAGGTTTGGGATGATAGTGTCACAGTGATGGTCCCCTGGGGTCCTTATCAGACTCCTTAGCTCCTCATAGTAGTGGCACAGGTCTAGGGCAAAAGGGTCTCAGCATCTTCTGTGTTTTCTGTGGCAGAGACACAGGAACTTCCTTGCTAGGGAGTGGTAGGTTGGCACATGATATTACCCAGAACACCAAATTCACAGCCCTTGTGCTTTAAGCCTTCCACCCCACAACCCAATTTCATGTAGGCCCCTTTAATCCTGAGGGTACACTTAGGAGAGTATTCCCTATGAGGGTCAAGGAAAATCATGTGTTAGTTCCTTTTCATATTATTGGTTGAGCAGGAAAGTCAAGTCTGATTTTTATTGTATGCCAGTTTATTTTTTTAAGATCTATTTTTACTTATTTATGCATACAAGAACTGGGGTGTAAGCCAGAGGTGCAGGGAGTGAGAGGGTTCACCAGAGACAGAGTGGGGAGCAGAACAGGCAGACTGACTGAAACACACTGCTGAGGGAAGCAGCGGGCGAGACAGGAGAGCTCTGCTTCGCCATGTGGGTCAGCTCCCTGGCCGGGGATCAAACTCGTGCTGTAGTGACTGGGGTTAGCTTGACAGCGCTGAGACCAGGGAGGCCTGTATGCCAGTATTTTATATTTCCAACTCTACCTCATGAAAGAAGGGATGACAGTCTCCCACCCAGTTCCCATGAGTACTTAGTCCTATTGATTGTCTTAGGGAGCCAACTTAGAATTTAGACCCTTGAAAGAGGAGATAATAGAAGCTTCTATCTCCCTGGTGTAGAAGATACATATGTTAAAAATTTTTATTTTCCTAAAGCACCTATTAGGTCAGCACCTGTATTAGATATAAATGCTTTGAACTGCAAGTAACATGAATAGTGACTTACTATAACTTAACCAAATGAGGGCTTTCCCCCCTTATAAAACAGATCGGAGCACAGCACCTGCTGATAGGTGTTTGGTGCCTCTGTGCTGGGAGGGTCAGTATTTCTTGCCATGCCACCTCATGAACACAAAACAATCAGGTCAGGTTCAGGCATCTGGCTCATGTTCCTGCAGAACGGGAGATGGACACAAGTGACTTCTCTCCCTTTTACCAGAAATGCAGGACTTTCCTGAATTGTTCTGACCCACCCAAAGAGATGGGTGACACTCTCTTCCGCCCCTTATGGACTAGAACTGGGCCACATAACCAACCCTAGCTGCAAGGAAGCCTGGAAATGGAGGAATGAGCAGTTAGAATGATCAGGACAGAACCTGTCAAACTATCCTGTTGACCTCATGATGACCACCTATGAGCAGGCCGAAGTAATTCTTTTATCTTCATATTGGCCGGTGTCCACCGCCCAAGCTTTAGTCTCCCACAAACCATGGTCAACTACTGCCCCATGTGAAAAACATGGGTATGTTACAAGTACATGGGGGCAGACATTCAATTCTTTGATTCTCTCAAATGTTTGATAATGCTATAGTGAGTGTCTTACATATTTATAATCGCTCAAATTACCTTTACAATTTGAAGTACTGCATTTGGCAAGACTGGCAAGCCAGCCGGTGACTTGCATGCTATTTGTTTTTCACAGACAGTAGCATCCAGGTCCTCTTGGAAACTGCATCCACGAATCACTGCTGTGAAGG